GTTGACGCTTTCCTCAGGATCCCATAGTTGATCTTGTGGTGTGGTTATTTGTGCATCCACATTATCCAACTTCTGGCACTATAAAGGACCCCAAGCCACTGCCACCCTTTGGAATTCTCTGACCCAGAACTACCCACTAGGCTGCTGAATGGCATCACCTGGCAAGTAAGCTTCTCCTCCAACCCCTCTCTCTTTCAGGAGTTCCCTTGCCCTCCTCTCCTTCTGGGTGGTAGCCCCTGTGAAGTTGACCATGGACCTTCTCCAGCTGTTAGTGACTCCTGCAAACCCAGCAAAGCACCATCTAAATAAAGCTTGTAGTGTGCTACTGCCACCAGGTGGTCACATGTTTTTCTTTGATTAGCCCAGCCTCGAACTCGCTACAATGACTGAATAAGGACAGTAAGGGAGATAGAGAGGTCAACGACAGTTTGATGTTTTAGGTGTGGGTGACTGGATGTTTATATTATTGTGACATGAGAAAATAATTTTATTTTAAAAGGTAGCATGAAGTGTCTCCCAAAGAATGAATATATCATTATGTTTAGTTATGAGTATGAGATTTTCTGAGGATAGCCTTGCACAGCATAGACAGAACTAAACTACCCAGCATAAGTAATTCATAGGAATTAGGGTTTGGGGGAAGAAGGGGAGGAAAAAGAATAAAAGAGAGATGAAAGAAAAAAGGAAAATGCTAAGCAAAATGGCAAAAGGGTCATGCTTGCAGAGAAATGTCAGCCAATGAGAAACGACCAAATGGCAGGGGCAGCTGAAGAATTCACAAATAGGAATTTCTAATGCGACATTTCACATAGTTTGGTCTGGGTTTCTACAATGTATTACTAACCACTCTCACCATCCTACATCTTTATTAAAATTTTATGCAAGTGGTATTTGCACAAATCAAGAAAAAGAAGTCACCATCTTCTATGCCTGAGTTAACGTAGAGCAGAGAGAACAGAACAGAGATAAGTCAGAGTGACGTTTTAAAGAGAAATCAGATCGAAACTTGGCCACAGGAATCTAAGTGCCCCAGATAGGGGAGAAGACAGCATTCCAGGCAGAGATAACCTTACCTTATGTGCTAAGGGTCTGTAGAAGGTAGGAGCATAGTGCATTTAAAACAATTAAAGTAAATGGAGCAGAGAGCAAAGGGGAGCTGTGAGGGATGGAAGACAGATAAGTGCTGGCAGTCAACAGTAAGGTTTTGGGTCTTCATTCTAAGACTAACGGAAAATCTTCATTTTTATTTAGGAGAACGCTATGTTCCAATTATCTTTTTATAAATATCACTCTGGCAACCAGTGGGTATCAGGATGAAGGAAGGGAAAATACCTAGGTAGCTATAATTGTGGTCCAGGAGAGATAAGATGATAGAAACAGAGAGAGGCATATGGATTTAAGAGGCATCAAGGGGGTAAATTGACAGAATTTACTAATGGATTTGCTCTTGGTGGTATAAAAAAAAAAGGTATAAAAAATAATTTCAAGTTTTCAGGGGTGTTGACTGGTTTGGACAGAGAACCAGGTTAGTGTGGAGAATTATGAATTTCATTTCAAGCATGTTGAGTTTGCAGTGCATTTGAGACATTTAAGTGAAGGTGCCAAGTAGGCGGTTGGCTATTGAAAGGTAACTGAGAGAAGAGGTGTGATGTGGATATAAACGGAGGAGTCGAGAGTAAACAAATGACCATTAAAGCCCTGGGCCTGGACGATGCTGTTGAAGGGTGGGGCGTAGACTCAGAGGAGGATAAAGACTGTGGGCATTTAGGAACATCAGCATTTCATGGCTTGGTAGAATGTGGCGAAGTAGTAAAAGAGACCGATAAAGAATAAATAGAAAACTAAAAGTAGGTCTAGGAGAGTATGTAAGGGGGCTGCATTTCTCAGAAGACAATAAGAGAGATTTCATAAAGGCATGAATAGTCAGTGGCACCTTATAGAAGGTCAAGCAGTCATAGGGACCGATATGTCAACAAAGTTTATCAGCCAGTTCACTAGTGATCTGGAGAGTGCCGTTTTCACAAACTAATGGTGGTAGGAACCAGAAAATGAGTTGGCTTACATTGTGCCTATAATAGATTTTAATCCAAACACCAACAGAAGTTTTAAACCCAAACACAACTAAATTTGATTGTTCTGTACTATGTAAGTCAAGAAAGGAACAGTAGAGGGATGGGGTGATCTGTGGTTTTAAAGGCCACAGAGAGGTCAAGGGTTAAAAAGTTCAGGAAAAACACTCATTCCTATAATGACTGAGAAGTCTGGTGGTCTTTTCAAATGTGCTGCACAGACAGGAAGATGTGGGAGAAATAAAGTCTCCAGGAAAGTTTATGTGATAGAGAAAATGGAAGATTACAAAATGAAGAACAGAAAAGAGAGAGAGAGAGTATCAGTATTAAGAGAAAATTCTTTGCAGAAGGTTGGAGGGGACAGGAGAGGGAGACCGGTGTACAAGTGAAGGCTGACGGGGAATACGGTTAGCACTGAGTTATTAGCTAGCATTAAAAATAATATTTTTATCTGTTTTTGACCTATTTTCATTTTCTTTGTGCTCTTCTGGGGACAAAGATCTCTTTTTAAAGGCTTTGCTTCCTTTCATCATTTAATAATTGCTTCTATTTTTCAGCTTTTACTAAAAAGGCTATTTCTCAACCCTGGGAATGCACTGGCATTAAAGGTGAGAAACAGAAGCTATACTTTGAGCTCTCCCAAAGAAAAGCACTTTAAAAATCAAAGGCATTGCTATATCGTTATTATTCTCTTTTTCCCCTGAAAGCTTGGCATGACATTAGCCCTGATCCTCAGAGAGAAGTCTTTCAGTTTAGCCATTACATTAATCATCTGTGACTCTAAAAAGGGAATGGATATCTAAATTGATCAACCTAGTCCGATCATCTTCTCTCTTCCTTGGTTCTGGTGTAGTGGATCCGAGCCAAGAATCAGAAATAGGAGCATTGTAACTCATTTTATCTTCCATGGAAATCACATCCAGCAATGCATTAATTGTAAGGGCACATAGCCAAGCACTGTCAGCTCTGTGCAGAGGTCTACAAGCTCAATGGGCATTGAAAACATGAGATGTTAACTTATGAATAATCCTTCCATATTTTTACACAGTTATATAATCAGTTGCTCATTATAATGACAATTTGCATTAATATTGGAATACTGAATAGAAGACAAAAATAAAAAGTTATTTTGGAAATAAGTAATACATATTTCTAAGTACTAGTTATTGTCTACCAAGACAAAATTGGTTGGATCTTACAATACTCCAGAAACAATTGTAACTGGTAAAACTCCTAGTTAAAATGTTCATCACTTAGGTAGCTCTATGAAAGGTATCATTCATAGAGAAATAGCTAAAGACAGCCTGAGAGGAAAGAAGGTTTTAAACTAGAAATATAATCCATATTGGATGAGCAAGTTTAAGAAGAAAACATTTTAACAGAAGGTGGATGTAATTCCAAGTTGCAATTGTTTAGTATGTTCGATAATTATATATATAATACATAATACATATAATAAAACACACACACACATAGATGCAACAACAGGCATGAAAAAGCAAATTAAGTCCTTTGTGTCTATTGGTTGACTAAAGTTTATTTGTGTCCTTATAGATCCAACCTAAATTATATTAAAAGACATTTCCAAATGTTTCTAGTACTTGAAAATAAGAAAGGCATTAAGAGTTTGCACAGCAGGTAAAACTTTGGGGAAATAAAACAATCTAATATTAAATAAGCACATCATTTAATAACTCTCTTTTCCAATTGTTGAATTGAGAAAGTAAGTCCCATTGAAACGTGGAAATATTTGGTGAAGATATTTCAGGGATTGAAGACATGAAAACGGTTTTGGATGCCCTAGAGCAAAACCAAGTCAGAGATCTATTTTGTTCTATGCGTTGGTGATGACATAGATTACGGGAGTTCCACACTGTGTTTGCTGTTTTGAAAGCCAGAGGGCAGACGCCATGTTTTGTTCACTGTAATGTCCCGAGATCCTAGAACCATATCTGGCACAGTAATCACTTATTAAATATTTATTAAATAAAATTGTTGCTGACATTCCTAGCATGGAAATTGTAGAACCAGGTGTCCTCCGCATGGTTTATAGTTTTAGTTTAATTAGTGTTCTCAACAAACAAAAAATAAAAATAGAAAACACCTATCACTTAAAGTTTACAAAGAACGTGCCACACAGAGCCCCGTTTGGTCATCTGGATTCATTGCAGCCTGGAAGCTGCTGTGCACCAGGAGCCCACATTGGAGCCCTGCCTGGTGCCCAACTCCATTCTCTGCTCTGCCACTCCTATGGGTTAAATTGTGAACCCCAATATTCATATGTTGAAACCCTAACCCACAGTGCTTCAGAATGTGACTTCCTTTTGGAAATAGGGTCATTGCAAATATAATTAGTTAAGTTTGGATAATGTCATACTGGAGTAGGAGGGGCCCCTGTAACTGATATGACTGATGTCCTTATAAGAAAGGGAAACTTGGACACAGACACGCACACAGGGAGAACACAAACTGAAGATGAAGGCAGAGATCAGGATGATGCTTCTACAAACTAGGGAATGCCAAAGGTTGCCAGGAAACTACCAGCAGCTGGGGGAGAGCATGCAACCAATTCTCTCTCACAGCCCTTGGAAGAACCCAACCATGCTGATACTTTGATATTAGATTTCTAGCCTCTGGAACTGTGAGACAATAAATTTTTGTTAAGTCACCTAGGGTGTGGTACTTTGTTACAGCAGCCCTTAGCAAACTAATACAGCAACCTTCTTCCCCCTTGCAGCTTGTCAGATTTCCTACTGGGCACTTGCACCTTGACCTCACTTCCACTGGGTACTGTTTGAGTCTAGTCAGCGCTCAGAGTTCACGAAAAATGCCTCCAATTTATTCCAAAGCATCCACAATTACATGTTGTCGATATCTAACACATTTGTCCATCAAATAACGTAGCAATTACATCTGACACCTTTGTCTTACCTTCTGTTTGCTCCTGTGCTTGGAGTGGCATTATAACCTGGAGGTGGTGGCGGAAACCAGGACTGTCTGCCAAAAAATGACATCGGTTACAAACACGGTATTTGAAAGGCCTGATCCCACCCACGTGTCTACAGGAAAAGCTGAAAATTGACAGTAAAAAAAGGCAACGGGATGACTTTTCTAAAAGGCCTTGGAAATAAAATGAAAGCAATTTCATAAATGCAGTAGAAAGTAACTGTCCTATATTCCTGGCTATCTGCTCTCCCAGGAAGCTCCTTTTCCCAATTCCTTTAACATTAAACATTGTGGACATTTCTTTAAAAATAAATCCGAAGGAAATCTAGAAAATAATAACATTTGTTAAATATAGGTAATAGGTTCATGGGTGTTTACCATAAAAATATCTTCTTTTCTGTCTATTTTTCTGCATATCTGAAATATTTCATCATAGAAATAACAATAATCTTATGTTCTACTCAAATATGGCTTTAAAAAACTGTATGATAGAACTCTGACAAGTAAGAATAATTAAAACATAAATGAACACCACAGCAATGCTAACTTCAATTTTACGTATAATGTATATACTTACATACAGATACATATATATCCAGTTAGAAAGATGTCTTCATACTACTAGGGCATAACTGTCATTGGTAGAGCTAACTAAGGGCTCTATCAAAAAGACTAAAATATGTACCAAAACTCAAGATGTTCAGAGGAGAGTGACATAGCCTAGACAAGAAACAGGATAAGGGAGGACAGAGGACAGAAGAGCTGGCTTTAAATTCTTGGAGCAGGAGGTCTAATCAAGATGGCAGAGTAGGTGAACTCTGAGCTCAGCTCCTCCCACAAACACATAAAATTATAACTAAATTATAAAACCATCATCAGTGAGAACCACCTGAAGACTCACTAAGCAGAATTTCTGTAACTAAGGACATAAAGAAGAAGCCATGTCAAGACAGGTAAGAGGGACAGAGACAAGGTCCAGGCAGGTCCCACGCCCACAGTGGGGTAATCAATAAATGAAAGGGATAGCTCAGCTTTGGAGTGCCCCCCTGAGGAGTGAGGAGTCTGAGCCCCATACCAGGCCCCTCAGCCTGGGGTAACTGTGCTGAGAAAGAAGTCCCCACGACATCTGACAGGGAGTGTATCTGAGAGAGAAAAGGTCTGTGGGAGACTGAGACGTTGGCCTTAGAGGGTCACACTCCCTCGCTCCAAGCTCCAGCACAGAGGCAGCAGTTTAAGAAGTGCCTGGGTATGACAGGAGAAGAATTAAACTGACTAACTATGGGGCAAAGGCAGGGATTGTTAAAAACTCTCAAGGAACAGAATGCTTGTAGGTGCCATTGTTCCTTTATTGAGCCTTCCTCCCACCTGGCCCTGCACAGGATGGTGCAAAATCTGTCACGCTCTATTAGCCTGGCTAACAGTTTGCCCCATCTCAATGGTTCCTCGAGGCCTTGTCCCACCCTCCCCGCTTGCCTACCCAGACCCTCTACGCAAGCAACAGCCAGCCTCTGTTCATGCAGCAGTCTCCCCCAAACATAAGTGATGGCCATCCTTGGCTAGCACTGCAACTCCTACTGAACAGCCCCAAGACCAGCACACATGGTGGCTGGCCTCTGCCAGCACCAGAGCCCTCCCAAGAGGCTCCCCTGCGCACTGTTGGTGGAAATGTAAAATGATGGAACCACTAAGAAAGACAACATAGAGATTCTTCAAAAATCTAGAAATAGACTACCATATGACTCCGCATACCATGTCTGGGTATTTATCTGAAGAAACTGAAAACATTAATTCAAAAAGATATATACACCCCTATGTTCATTGCAGCATTATTTATAATAGTCAAGATATGAAAGCAACCTAGGTGTCCATTAATAGACAAATGGATAAAGATGTGGCACATGTATACAATGAAATATTACTCAGCCATAAAAAATAATGAAATCTTGCCATCCGCAACAACATGGGTGGACCTAGAGGGCATTATGCTTAGTGAAATGATTTAACTTATGTGTGGAATCTAAAAAATAAGATAAATGAACAAACAAAATAACACAGAAACAAACATAGATATAGAGAATAAACCGTTGGTTGCTAGATGGGAGGGGTTGGGAAGATGGGTGAAAAAGGAGAAGGAGATTAAGAAGTACAAACTTCTAGTTATAAAATTAATCATAGGGTTGTAAAGTACAGCACAGAGAATATAATCAATAATATTGTAATAACTATGTATAGTGCCAGATGGGTACTAGACTTAACCATGTTGTTCACTTTATAAACAACATGGTTAATCACTATATTGTACACCAAATCTAATCACTATATTATACACCTGAAACTAATATACATTGCCTGTCAGCTGTAATAAATAAATAAATAAATTAATTAATTAATTCTGCTGCAAAAACAAGTTGAAAGTATAAAAAAATCACAGTGAGAGCTCAAAAAGCATACATGTATATTAAAAGTATTCAGTATGGGGTCACTGAAGAGTCTGCAAGAGACATATCTGTGCTTCCTGTCAAAGTCCATCTGTTTCCTTTAACCTCCTCAAAACACTCTTTAGTGGATATCATGAGGTCAAAGTAAAAAAAAAAAAAATTAAAAAAGAAAGAAAAAGAAAAAAAGGAAAAAAGAACAGAAAGTAAAAGACTTAGACTTAGAACAATTGAGAGTTTTCTTTTATTATCCGATAGTCATGAGCATTTTAAATACCCATCATTATTAGCAGAAAAATGAAGCCAAGTGACTGATAAGAAAATGTACTGAACAGTAGAATAATATTCCATTTCATCAAGACTTCTGACCTAGGCAGCAAAAGTGACTGAATAAAATAATTGATTTCCCATCGTAGAAAAAAGATGGCTTCAAAGTTGTAGCAAAAAGTATTGTTTAGAGCGGAGAGGTTGAAATACCCATCATTATTAGCAGAAAAATGAAGCCAAGTGACTGATAAGAAAATGTACTGAACAGTAGAATAATATTCCATTTCATCAAGACTTCTGACTTAGGCAGCAAAAGTGACTGAATAAAATAATTGATTTCCTATCGTAGAAAAAAGATGGCTTCAAAGTTGTAGCAAAAATTATTGTTTAGAGCAGAGAGGTTTAAGCCTTTCTGGTATTTACAGTCAAAAAACAAAAACAAAAACAAAAAAAAAACAAAAACAGACCAATGTTTTAGAAAAGGAATGTATGGTTATATCAGCTCAGCTTGTCCTTAGCAACCTGAACTCAGAGGCCACATTTGGTCCTAAGAAGCAAGTGGGAATTTGAAAAGTGTGTAGCACATCATGAGAAGGAGCAGTGAACTGAGCCTAGGTCAGCAGCCAGTACTGAAATATGAACCTTCAGAAATTTCAGGACTAGTGGATTTTGTCCCTCTTTCTTTGGTTCCTTTACAAAGTCCTTTGGTCTGGAAGCAGACGAGTCCTAATCCTAAGAGAAAACCTGTTCTCTGAGTATTTCTGGTGTCATTAAAAAGGAAGTATTAAAAACAAAACAAAACAAAATTCTTGAAGAAAATATATTCTCTGAGGCACCACAGGACTGAACTAAGATGAGATGGAAGTAAATCAAAGCATATTCCACCTCAATGTAAGCAGTAGGTACTACCAATGAGAGCTAGTCAAAGGTGTGTCACAGAAGTGAGTCACATTGCTGGCTTCCATGGTCTTGAATCATGCCTCGACTGTCAGGGAAAGATTCTTGCACTGGGTATGAGACTGAACTAACTAAAGTTAAATTTCCCTTCCTATATTAGGAATCTTTTTCTAATAAAGGAAGTGTCAGGGGGATGTAAAATTGGGTCTAAGAGAAAGATTATCATATTTCCTGAGACTCTACAGATACAAATAGAATTCTAACTACAGGAAAAATAGCGTCAGCCTTTTCTTTCTAGGAACAGTCAGCCAATCCCTTGACAAACACTGAACACCTACCCTATAGCAGGCACAGTCCTAGATGCAGGCAAAGAAATAAGAAAATGCTAAAAGCACAGAGGTTCACAAACACTTGTTTTCCATTAGCAGCATGATTCGCTAGCACTGTGTTCTCTTCAACATGCACCCTCACCATCTGTCTCATGAAGAATATTCTGCTATCACAGGTCTAGTGATGTCTCCTGATAAACAGAACTCAGAACAGGCAGAATGGGGGAGGCCACATAGGGGAAGTCAGAAGAAAAGGCCATAATCACACAAACAGAGATCAATGTCTTGGGATAGAGCATTTGACTCCATACTTGGAAGTTGGGTCAGCCCACTCCATGGAGCAGAGGAGGTAGCCACATTGCAGGCTGGTTTCAGGAACATGGTGACATATGACCATACCACAGTCATTATTTCAGGGTAAGGCATTCCTATAGTTGGACTCTATCAACATGTGTGACCTGAAGTAGCTCATCTGTTAATATCTGGGCTCTCTCATCAAAAACATTTTTAAGATATTTAAGACCCTAGGGAAACTGAAGAAAAGACTGCATATTTGAAAAGGAGATTTGTGTGTAAAGACAGAAGTTTGAGGACAACAGAATCCACTAGGTTCTGAATCCCTGGGAAGGGGAGCAGGGAATAAAGAGAAAAAGCAGAGCAACCCCCAAATGCTGACTAGGGGTATAGAAATGATTTGGTTCTGAAATTAATAAAGATAATCCTTGACAGAATATGGGCAAGAGGCAGATACAACCAGTCCATCTTTTCTTTATAGGTCGTACCTCTTTTTCTTTACAGGAGTTGTAACAGGGGTGGAAGCTGGTGTTCTGGTGGCATTTGCACTGAAAAAACCTCCAGGTTGCCTGTTTAATCACAAGAACAACAAGTCATCACGTTCCTGAAACTTTTTTATTCTCACCTTTAAAGGTCTGATAATCTACTCACATTCCCACCTACTCTCCATCTACCACAAAATATTTTACATGAAGTTAGAACAACAAAAAAGCTCCTCCTGAGTTTACCCATTTAATAAATTGACAGGCTCTCATATAAGTAACTAAAACTGAGGGAATTGAATTAAGAAATCATTCATCATATGACACTGTGTGTCTGAAATCTAGACCAATCAATTCAGGTGTGCTATGGATACATATATATAATTTATATATGTGTATTTTAACCTCGTAGTCATATTGTGATTAACAGAATTATATAGCAATGTTTTTCTGCATTAAAAGCATTAGCTAGTTTAAGAGAGTATTTTAAAAACCACATGATTTTTAATCCCTATTTAGTAGTTATCAGTATCCGCAGACACTCAAAAGAATGCAAATGATCCAGGCCTGTTTCAGCTACTGAGAGGTGCGGTCCAGTGTGAAAATTACTTTTTTATCAATACAAATTTAAAAAGCAGTTACATTTTCAAAAATCTACCTAGTTTGGTTAGTTTATAACTGCCAGTAGTACATTCCAGGGAAAATATATTCCACCTAAAGAGATTGTTAGCAAACTCATGATTTCATGACTCAGTTGAGTTGCAAGTGTGATGGGTGTTTTGAGGCGCATGA